TAGTTCTCTCCCTGGTGGTAGTAAGAACCTTTTTAGCTTGTTCCTCTTAGGTCTTCTAACGAGCCATCATTTGATCCAGGTGCGTTAAACTAGGGAGAGACTAAAACATGCAGAATGCCGTCCCTCGAGGACCGACTTTGGACACCCCTGCTTCAACTTAAAGTACACCTGATTTATTAGACCAACCTTTTTATTACCGCGGACCGGTCAAGACTTGGAAATTTTGCTGCGGCCCAGAGGGGGGGGGGTTGGGGGTGAACCGTCAGATAAGGCTTCTGCATGTTGATGTTCCCGCTAAATCCTGAATATACCCAATTTGGGTTGTCTTGGCCCTGTGGGGTTTTCTCTGACTGGGAACGAGAATACAACCTGTTGAATGTGACAGGTAGCCAATCAGAAAGCACGGTGACGTAAGAACAGAGGGGAATCCCAAACAGCTGACATATCGCGCAACTGAGAGTCCGGTGGATATCGGAGATGATATGTGGAAATGTTTATTATAAATAAAGGTCATTATTATATATGTTTATTATGTTTATTCAGTTAAAAATGTTAACTATGAAGAAACAGTCGCCTCCAAATCATTTTGCAGCAGATAGAGCAGCTGCTCCCGCCGTCTTTTATCCACCGCCTTTTCTTTTTGTTACGTCTTTTATCTCTTAAAATGAGTCCACAAACTGTCACTACTGCTTCTATATTGTCATCTGTGTTTGGTTATTCTAAATTCCCGAATGCTATGTTGGGGGTTTTACTGGATTATCCTCTGGAATCGGGATGTTCCTGACTCGAATCGGTTTGTGTTGTTTGTTGATCCTGTTGTGTGGCTGAACACGAACCGATCAATGTTGGTGCGCAAGTAACCGAGAGAATCCGGTTAAAGGATTTTCAAAATAAAAGATCCTCCAGACTCAAATAATACATAAATCGGAAATATTTAATTATTTCTTGTGCGGCCCGGTATCAAATGGTCCACGGACTGGTGCTGGTCCATGGACCGAGGGTTGGGCACCACTGTATTAGATAAGACATTGACCCAAAGCCACCACAGGATGGCTCCAAAGAGAAATTAAAAATAAAATCAGGATTTCCAGTTGCCTTTCAGCGTCTTGACTTAAATTGAGAAAGATACAATCTTTCCAATGTGGCTAAAAGAAAAAAATTCTGCACAGACCTGTCAATCAAAATTCCATCATGGTGGTTTAAAATTCTCACTGTTTTCCACTGCAAATGCTTTCTAGTAGTTGTTGCTGCCCAGAGAGCCAGAACTAGTGAATGTTGAGGGGAAATAAATTGTTCTTTTACTACCAGATTGGTTTTGACATATTTTGATCTTCAATCTGAACCTTCAAAGTCACATAAAGAAAATTACAAAGATGGCCTTCTACCATCAGAAGAACATTTCCAGGATTAGAGGACTAATGTCTCAGCAAAATCTAGAAAAACTTAGCAATACTTTTATCTTTAGTTGCATTGATTACTGCAGCAGCGTCTTCACAGGTCTGTCTAAAAAGTCAATCCTCCAGCTGCAGCTGATCCAGAATGTTGCTGCTGGTGTTTTAACTAAAATCAGGAAGATAGAGCACATAACACCTGTTGCAAAGTCCCTACACTGGCTCCCTGTAGCTCAGAGAATAGACTTTAAAATACTGTTGTTAGTTTATAAATCACTGAATGACTTGGCACCACAATACAATAAAGATCTGCTGTTGTATTGACCTTCCAGACCAATAAGGTCTTCTGATTCTGTCCTTGGTTAGCTTGTAGGAATTTTGTAGCTACCTTTGCAACATTAGTAATAAATTTCCCCAACACCATAAATGCAAGCTAATATATCAAAAATCACAATTTTAATTTACATACATTTGTTGGTAAGAACTGCAGCTGAAGTTCTGGTTGCCCAGTTGGACTAAGAAGCTTTGAGCCACGTAAGGCAAAAGAGGAGCCATCTTCAGAGAGAACCACAGTCTGACGAATGTTGGGTCACGGTAGTCACCCAGATTCAGACTATCCAGGACTCCAAATATTTCCAGAAGATCAGCTGTGGATTGGTTGGCACCCTGTTATTTAAAAAAGTTGTAATTTGATATTAGTAAATGTTTTTCCCTTGTGTGCATATATGTTAGATATGTAATTTAAGTATTCATTGAAAAATATTTTATTAATCTCAAAGGGAAAATAAATGTTGTAACTCAATAATTCAGATTATTCATAAAGGGACAATACATACATACATTCATACATACAGTGATGGCATAGTTTGAAAAAGTAACTTTAATCAGATTACCGATTACTCATTGAATAAAGTAACTTGGTTAGATTACTGATTACTTGATTTAGAAAGTAACTAAGTTACATTAAAAGTAATTTTTTGCTTACTTTCAGCAGCTGCTGACAACAACGCTCTGCCACCTGTGAAAATTACTTTGAGCTTTGCCAAAACTTAATTGCAGGTTATTTATAATGGTAATATCAACAATGTGTCTCCACTTACAAAGTTGAACTGAAGAGGAGATTGTTTAATGGTTACAAGAGTACCAAAAAAAAAAACTTTAGTAATTTGTGTGTGTTTTTCCACTAATGTGTTCCACTATTATCTGGAAAACTCTAAGTAGGATTTAGAGCCCCCCTCCTGCCCCAGCCTCCAGGTTCTGTGTAACTGCCCTGTGTTTGCTGTCGCAGTGCACAGCGCTCCTCCTGTGGCTCCACAGCTCAGATGACCTGCTGCACAGATTTGTGACACTTACCTTAATATTAATGATAATAATGGAGTTTAGTTGTGCAACTTCACAAACTCGTTCATTTGTGGTTGTTTTCACATTTATTGCACTGCTCATATTAGTGTCAATGTTTGCAGTTTTCTGGAGCGCAGTGTGAAGCTCAAGGTCAGTCACAAATATTTATATTACCAACATCAAAACACACAAGGTCTATTAAGCAATTAAAGAACTGTCTGCAAATAAATCTATAGGAATGGATCTTATTTAAGCTGAACATCTCAAATTTGCAAGTTCAAGGTTAGCCCCTCTTCTTGCCTTGTGCTTCACTGGTTTTGTTATACATGTACTTATTCCTCTTTTTTTTTTAAATCGGCTCTAGTGGCCTTTATTTGATAGTTGACAGGAAAGAGGGTAATGAGAGAGGGAGAAGACATGCGGCAAAGGTCACCAGGCCGGGAATCAAACCTGCGACGGCCACATTGAGGACTGAGGCCTCCATATGTGGGTTGTGCTGAACCGCTGTGCCACCACAGCACACCCATGGTTTTATTCCTGATACCTTGAAGAATGTTCTATTTTCTGTGATTAAAAGCAAAGCTGGACAAATTGGCAGCTCTGATAACTATAGATCTATTGCCCTAGCAAGTACACTATCTAAAGTCTTGAACTAATTCTTTTGCCAAAATTTGCAAAGATAGTAATGTCTACAGACAATCAATTTGGGTTCATGTCCAAACACGGTACTGATTTGTGTATATTGATTTTTGAATTACTGAATAATTATAATAGCAAAAGTTCTATGGTATTTCTGTGTTTTTTAGACGCCACTAAGGTTTTTGATCGTGTAAATCATTGTGCCAAGAGTGTGGCCAAATACATAGTAAGATGTCTGTCCTATATGCTATCCAAACTATGCAGGTCAAATGGGACGACTGTGTGTCTGTATCCTTCCATGTCAGCAATGGAGTCGGACAAGGAAGCATTTTATCCCCTATATTGTTTAATTTTTATATGAATGAGCTCTCTAAGCAGCTAAACCTGTGTAGAACGGGCTGCATGGTTGGAGATACAATTATAAATCATCTTATGTATGCTGATGACTTAGTGATTTTTAGTCCAAGTTCAGCTGGTCTTCAGCAGCTGCTTAATGTGTGTTCAGCATACGGTGAGCTACATGATGGTAAACTCAATCCATCAAAAAGTATCATTTTGATCTGTCACACTAAAGAGGACAAGAACAGGATATTTCCACATTTCAGGCTGACTGAGTTTTTATTGAATGTCACATGAAGTGAAATATCTTGGTCATGTGCTGACAGACCGTCTGTCTGATGATGAGGACATTTACCGTCAGGTTACAGTGATGTCTGCTCAGGCAAATATCCAGTCCATAAGTTTGGATTCTGCTCTGATGAAGTGAAACTGAACTTGTTTAGATCATACTGAACATCACTGTATACGGCACATAGGTGGTGCAATTTTAAAAAAGCCAGTCTTCAAAGACTGAAGGTGGCTTATAATGATGCACTCAGACTTTTTTAAATAAGCCCAGATGGACCAGAGCCAGTGAACTGTTTGTATCTGCTCACGTCAGCACTTTGATGCCTGTTTTAAGGAAGCTTATGTATAAATTTGTTTGTTTAAATGAGTCTAGTAATAAAATCATTCTACTGTTGACTAGTGTTAAATATAGTGCAGTAAAATACTCATCTGTACTTTGGAGACATTGGTATGATTGCCTCCTTTATGGTTAGAAGCCTTTTGTATTGTACTTTTTATTCTTTTATTGTATTTATTTTCTTTTTTATGTAATTTGGACTTTGAGTCTGTAATAAAATCTATCTAAAATAGTAGCTCATAGTGATTTGCATAAGTAATTTTAATCTGATTACTTTTTTAAAAAAAATAGCAACATGTTAGATTACTCGTTACTGAAAAACGTGGCAGATACATATATAGATACATAAAATGGGACAATTTCATCAGTTCAGTTTCATTTATATAATGCCAATTCACCACTCAATTACCTGGATCAAGTAGGCTTTTAAAGACGAGTCCACTAAGTGCCGGATGTTTTGTTCCATCTCCAGAAACAGTTCCTCTGACAGGCTGGCATTTGGATCAGATCTTTTACAAGTAAGATCCCTTACAAACACATCTGCTGCCATTGATATCTGGAAAAAACAGGCAGAGAAAGTAATAATGTCTGAAACCAAACACAAGAGGGCGTCACTGCTGTGGTGACACCACGCATTAATGCTGATGATGACACTCTACAATGCTTACGCTGCGACTGGCATCTTGTAGATTTATGCCTTGGCAAGATCCAGGAATACCATTGGTTGGAGTTGAAGCAGTGCTTTATTAACCATTAAATTAAATAATGCCGATTAATTTATGAACTTTATTCAGCTAAAAATAAATGACATCAAACTATTATGATAAACAAATTATGCATGCTGACCTGTTGGGAGGCATTGGTAGATGTTGAACTACACATGACAAAAAACATAGAAATAGCATTATACAGTGATACAGGCTTATTTGTATATTACTGTCTTTTATTGAATGAGGATGTTTTTCATACCTTGTGTTGTGTTGGACTGAAAAGAAATTTACAGTACAAAAAATTAATTCAAGAAATGAAGAGGTATATTCTTAGCTAGAAAGAAATCATGAACCAAACTTACAGTTAAGGCCAATGTAAAAATGCATGCTGTAGGGATGGGAAGAAAATTCTTGATATTAGATCAATAACTTTGAAAATGATAGGTCCTCCTCTGAGTTTAGGGAAGCTCTTACCGATCCCAAACACCAAGAGTGGCAGAAGATGCACTGAGGTTTGGGAGACCGCCATTGTCTGCAGGTTACCGTCTTCACTTTACTGATCTTCTATTTATTTTATTAGCATTTTACACCGAGATCATTTCAGCTCCTTTCAAAACACAAGACAATAGTTTAGGTAAGTACTGTACATCTACTGTATATCTAAACTCTGCAAATGACAGGTTTGGACGATTTTCTGGTAATTGATTGATGAGAATAATTTCAGATGAAACATTTTTTCTTAATTTTCTGGTAGATTCCAGTTTAGAGTTTAACTTGTAATTGTTTCATATTATGTTGTAATATTACAACTAACTATACAATATTATCAAAAACAAGAGCACGTTCTTTCTAATCACTGATTCATTCAAATTTCAAAGTAAAGAGACATTTCTTTTTTACAACAATCGCAGGTCAAACTTCCCTCAATATTGGACGATAAAAAAAAGAAAAACAGGAATCAAACTCACCCAGCTGCTTTGCTCTGTCACAGAAAATGAGGACCAAACCTGAAAGGTAAAACAGGTATATTCTGGGTGGAGCAATGAAATATTTGGCAAGGGAACAAAAGCACAAAGAAACATTCTGATCGGATAAAATAACTTTGTGCGTCTCCATCAACTTCAGAATGGAAGTGTTGCGCAAAACAAAATGGGTGGCTCAAGTAAGGAGATTTTCATTATATAAAATCCAGTGTTTTCCCAACTGAAAACAAATTATATTTCTTTGTTTTCTGTCAAAAATGAGCAGTGTTTGACACACAAAAAGCTAACATTGCTTTATTTTATAAATTGTCCATAAAGACCTCTAAAATTGCAGGGTTTTTTTCAAATTGGCTTCTTGGCTGTGTTTAAGGCCTGCTTTTATTTATATTCCCTGATTCCTGTTGGTGGTCTTGTTTAAAGCAAAGGATAAGTACTGCTTTTAATTAGCAGAATATCATCTTGACTGATGTTGGACTACCATGTCCAACGTTGGTGTTTAGGATTATTAACAACTGAAAACACTTATAAACACCTGGAAGTTTGGAAATCCAATACTTGTGACCAAACGAAGGCTAACTTACTGTGCAGTTTACACCACCTAAAGGAATCTCATGCTCGTAAGTTTCTGCCTGAGAGCCATTTCCAGGTTAGTTTTTGCTTAAAACAAAGTTCAGATCGTGGTTTGAAATCTGCAGATTTCTGAGGGTCAGTGACTTTTAGTCTGCAGCTTCAAAGCGCTGAAATAGTTGAGCCTGATTTTGTTTCAGCAGATATAATTTACAGTGAATCTTTTAAGCTGTTTTTTTTTTTTTCCCCTTTTCATCTGTCCTGTGGATTCTTGAACAGGCACTTACACAATTCCTTAAATACTATTTAAAAATATTTATTTTTAAAAAGTTATTTTTTATTATTTTGAAAAACAAACAAAATGTAAAGCAGCTTGTAATAATTGAATGCAATAATGTGAGTTTACCTTTATGGTGAGTTTTATACGTTAACTGGCATTTTTAAATACTTAGAGACTGTTTCAAAATGCCTCTCAAATCCTAATGCTGTCCATTGATTTTCTTTAATAGAACCTAAATCATGGAAGCTTAATTTTTCCACTATTATTTCAACACCAAGATTTACTTTATTGCAAATTCAAAGAGATATCATAATAGTTGTTTAATTAGAATTTTAAATAAATATTAATCATCAAACCAATAGACATCATCACCCATTGTAGAAGTGAAAGTGGCTTTAATCCAACATGAGAGGAATTTGTCTTTCTTTTCATACTGTAAAAGAAACACAAGTAGAACCAGTGTGTTGGGTTCTGTTCTCTGACTGAGCCTTCTTTCTCAGGAAAGAACCATCATTCAGACTCAGGGAACAAGTTTGAGCTGCAGCTCAACTCATCATACTGTTGACAAACAGGCATCTTTAAAAAGCTGTGACGATGAAGTCTAAAATGTTAGAAGTGGATTATGCTCTCTATTTTCCACACTTGACTATATTAAGTGAAGGCAACTTATCAAAGCACAATAGACAAAAGACACTTAGTCAGCTTCAGGACCTGAGCCAAGAAATGAATTCACATTCATTTACTGTCCCTGATGCAACAAAGCATAAAGACAACGATGAGGTTGAAACTGTCTGTGAATCAAAAACAGATTTAGTATTGATTAGGGTCCTTAAACCTGCATGTGTTGTAAACCTGTCTGTGACCAGCGTCTGATCACGTCATGACTAAGGTGGTACTGATGAAAAGCCTGAATGGGTTTAAGAAGCCTGGATGAATGAGGTTAAAAGTTGATTTCCATTTTTATTCACATCTAAAAATGTCCAGTCAGCTTTGCTTGTTTTACTCTCTTGCAGTAAAGACCAGAACCCATCTCATCCAGTGAGTTTTTTCCATGTTCTGCAGTTTAAATTATGAGAGGAACCACAAAGATATCCAACCGATCGACTTCAAGACTCGCCTTTGAATAACAACTTGCTGTTATAATGTTTTATAATCAAGGAGTTAAATAACAGTGAAAGGAAACTCCATGCTCCACTAATAAAAAGTAAAAACTTTTGATAGGAAACATTTCCTATGAAGTTATTGTCAAAGTCAAATACAAACAGCAAAATCAAAGTGGATGAACTATTTCCTGTCTTCATCTTTTGACCTTTAAACTATTAAACTCAATTAGTTTAAAAGGCAGATGTTTCTACCAATCTGTTTGGCCATATTTCATTTGTTCCACAAATCTGGAACAATTTCCCAGAAAACAGCAAAACAGCTGCAACACTGAGTTCCTTTAAATCTAGCCTAAAACCCACCTGGTTAGAAATGATTTTAAACATAATAATTGGAACATTGACCAACATATTTGATGTGAAATGATGATTTTGATAATGTAAAACACTTTGAACCACCTTGTTGCTAAAATGTGCTATACAAATAAACTTGATTGAAAATTAATTTAATTATAATAATCTGGGATAATAATTAAACAGTAATTGATAATCTAATGGTAAGTTAGACATTTTTTATGAACAAAATAATTTTTTGTTGATGCTACTGATTATATATTTTTTTACATTTGAGTCACCAGAAGTGTTTCAGTTATGCTTTTGTTCCTGCGTGTTACCTGAGGAGGTTGTGGTGCTCCACCTCTGTAATTAAAATACCACAGATGTGAGCTGTCAAGAAGGTCAGGTAGCATTCTTGGCCAGAGTTGCTGACTTTGTCACTCATCCTTCTCACTCCTCATCTACTGAGGAGATTTTAATCTCTGCTAGAGACGCTTTTATCCCAATTTTAAGAGATTTTCGATAAAAATTTAGTGTTTCAGTTGACAAGAAGAACTGATACTTTTTGAGTAAGCTTGCATTCATTAACTCAGCATATAGATTATTTACCAAAAGAAATATAAAATATCTTATGTACAATATCACAAAGAGGGCCCTTTTTAAACCAGTCCCGACTAGTGGAAATTGCAGTAAATGTAGTCAATTTTACTGGCTAGTCTTTAAGAAGCAGTATTGACATTTAAATACAAACCCACTGATTGAACAGCTGCTGCTTCACAATGGGAGCCAGTTGTGGAACACTTGTGATTACTTTCATAAACAGTTTAAGTTCATATTTAAACAAGTCTTTGGTGAATAAGTTAACCATGACTAGACATTTTGCATCCGTCTCTTGGCTGTTGACTGTTAGAGTGGCTGTCCACAGATCACTGTGCAATAAATCCCTTTATGAAAGATGCTTTATCTACATGATCCACATCACTTTGACTCATGTTGAATATAAAGCTCTTCAGCATGTCCTCCATTGACTTCAGCTCAGCATCTCAAACAACAGCTGATGGACATATTTTACAGTGGCTTGCAAAAGTATTCAGACCCCTTTGAACTGTTCCATATTTTGTCACATTACAATCACAAACATAAATATAAACACAGATATGCCTGATTTTGTGCATCTTATTGCTAGACCAGTGGTTCTTAACCTGGGTTCGGTCGAACCCCAGGGGTTCGGTGAGTCGGTCTCAGGGGTTCGGCGGAGCCTCTGCCGCGGAGGTAAAGACACACTGTGTAAAGTCGTGATGACGCCCCGCTTTGCCATCACTTGCTGCAGAGGATCGCCTTACATTGCTGAGCCAATCAGAGCTGCGGAGGAGCACTGATTGGCTGATTGTCTTTAATTACTTAAGCAAAGCTCACAGTTTTTACCAAATTCTGTAGCTTTCAGTGTACAGTGATCCCTCGCTGTAACGACGTTCACCTTTCGCGGTCTCGCTGCTTCACAGATTTTTTTGTGCCGTTTTTCACAGTGCACTGTGTTCTGCGTCCTGATTGGCTAAACAGTCTCCGAGCTCCTTCTCTACCTGTGTGCCAATCATGTTACGGTATTTAAATATAAATAATACAGCTTGGCCATTCAGGAGATGAAAGATGAAAACTTTGAATGCCTGCTGGAAAAATCTGTGGCCAGAATCAGCTCAAAACCGACCGGAGGCTCGGTTGACGAGATCCAGCTGTGAATCTGGTTGGGCAGGTTGGAGGAGACGCTTTAGTGCCATGACTCTGGATCACATTAAGGCCCGATTGATGAACACGTACATCCGCTGGAACAAAACAGGTTTTGTTCTTTGGTTTCAATGTAGAGTATTTATGCTGTATAATTGTAAAAACTAAAGGTAACTACTTCGCGGATTTCACTTATCGCGGGTTATTTTCGGAACCCAGCCCCCGCGAAAAACGAGGGATCTTCTAAATCTGCTCCTCAGTCGCACCTTTTCGGGGTCACTACTGCC